AAAGTGATTTCTGCATATTTCAGTTTTTAAGCCAAAAAAGAATTTTTGTTTAGTAGCTTTATGGATATTTTAGCTTAATCTTTATAATCCCTGACAAAAAAAAGTTCCTAATCTGGTATAAACTGTCCGTTTTACCTAGAAATGAATGCCAAAGCCTGGCTAGGTAGGACAGCCTTTTTTCCTATATGTTTCACTTGCCAACAACACTCATTACTTTTTTGAGAAAAGGCTGTTCACAGAAACCCAAGTTACTGAGCAATGAGAAGTCAAGGTGTGCTTGGTCATTCTTCTCTTCTGAAAAAGACATGAAAGCACAGGTTGGATGGACACAACCAAGCAGTAATTTACCACATTGTGCATGTTACCAAACACTTCGGAAATTAGCAAGCTTTATTATCTGAATCTTCCTGCCGAGTGGAAAGGAAAACTTTACATCTGGTACAGATGTGTAGTAAAATGGTCGTTTCTATCCAATCGCCATCTTTTGATGCTGAGGGGGGCTAATGGGAAGTTGTTCTCTGCCAAGACTTAATGATTTGCTCCTTCTAGCACAAAGAAGGAACCTGTCACAGGTACCAACCAAGTGTGTAGGAAGCAGTCTGCTACAGTTATAAAAACCACCTACTTAAAAACTCTTCCTACTCAACTCTTACAATCACAACCGTTCTACCCAATTTGAACTGCTTGTATTAAAATTATTTTCAAGCACTAAAAGAGCACGAAAAGTAATGTTTGCTTTTTAATCTAAATAACAGAAGTAGTATTTCAAAGAATGAAACAGTTTACCGTACAGCACCTAAAACTTTTCAGTGACCCGTATCAAACTATGCCAAGTCTCTGAGACACTTTGGACAAGTGCTCAGTGTGATCTTAAACAGAGTTTATACCTTTGTGAGCCCACAATGGACTTGAAAGGGTGTAATTTGGTTTAGGATTGCACTGTAGGAATTTTGCCCTGTGTGACAGAGGAACGTTGTCTACCTGCCATAGCATGGAAAATATTAAATATTTACAGTTAGCAAGTTTTTGTTCTCACTTTTTAGATGAAATGAAAGCTCAGATTTTCAAGCAGAAACCCTCAGGAGACTTTGTTTGTTACGGGTCTTAAAATAAGAGGGTAATTCTGTTAAGCCTTGTGGGACCTAAACTCCCCCCCCCGCCCCCAATATTTATTGTGGCATAAGCTTTCAGGAGCCAAAGCACACTTTGTCAGATGCATGCTAAACATTCTGTTTAAGAGTCATGTTTCCGCAGCAGTAAAATTAGGAAGATTTCACTTCAGGGTCCTTTCTTAGCATGTACCTTCAATGATTTAAAGCAAAGCAAGACAAAAAAAGAAATGGGTATCTGAACTAGCTTTTTTGAAATACTAGTGACCATGCAAGTTCACATATACACCCCAGTATAAAAGTTATCCTGAAAAATGCTTAAAAAACTGACTAGTCCTTTCCTCGGCACTAATGTTAAACACCAAAGAATAGAAATTCAGCTTTAATTAAATGTTACTATTTTATTTGTGAAAAAACTACAAGCAGAATTCATAAATAGACATTTCTATTTAAAGCAGGAAAATGATAAAGTGGCTTCTAATAACAGTCGTGCACATGCCGGTAACAGGAATATATTAACATCTTTTATTTGCTAGACAAAGAGCAGTGTCCAATATAAATTTCCCGAAAACATTTAAGACCTGTGAATTTTTCTGACCAGTTCACAAAACCACCATTGACACTTTTAGCATGAAGATTAAAAACAAACCTAACAGGACTGTCAGCTCTAAAGACTTTACAGAGCAGAAAACTTCCAAAAGCGTTATACAAGCTGTCTTTCTGGGCAAATGAAAAATATAGCTCGTATAATACATCAACATAAAAATCCACAAGATAAAATTATGTCTTGACATACTTAAACAAGCATTCTCTATTTGTCGCCAAACAAACAAAGCTAAAGAAATAATGTAACCATCTTTACACAGTAAATTAAGGTTACAAGTCATACACAAGAACAGAACTGCTTGCGCATTAAAAACTGTTCAGCTCCATTGTCATATTCTAAATGTTGGCTCTTAAATCATTTTTCCCCCCGGTTACATACAAGCAAAGGTTATTATAGTCAGCAATTACTAAATCTCCAATAATTTATGTTTACTGTTGTTTAAAAAGTAGACTGAGAATGATATTGATAAGGCAGGTGGAAGAGTTTCTCAATGAATATAGCTACTGACAAATTTTTAAATCTGGGGATTTTTTAAGTAAGCAAAGTGCTTTCAATTAAAATTGTTCATCTTAAATGCTCTTTACTGTTCCCTTTGCATGACTACGTCCAACTGAGCAAGTCAGGCAAGCTGTTGTGTATATGGGTGTGCACGCATGTGTGTATGTGAAGTGTAAAAATTGAAACTTGCAAAATGTTAACACTGTGCTTTTTCCTTGCCTGCTCTCTGTGCCACTGGCTACCGAGCGTTTCTGGCCCTTTCTCTATACTAGTGTTTCAAACATGCTCTCCAACTACCATATGGCAAACTGAAATGCAGATAAGTGAAGGGAATTCCATTTTAAGACATCATGCCACTTTTTAAGGGTATTGTCCATCACAGGGGTAAGTAGAAAAGCAGATTGACAACGCAACAGCTAAAAATGCGGCCCAAGAAAGTTTGAATGCTTAGCTGACAATTTCAACCAAATGCAGCTTCAGTCAGTCCACTTGTGCCAAAGACAGATTTGCATACTTTTCACCTAGCAATCTAACGTATCACAGAGGCACACGTTAAGAAAAAGAAAAGAAAACCCAAAGAGGATTCCACTGAATTGGTAAGCCAATGAGTAGCTCATTTACCTTTAAAGCTTTTACCACCTAATCTAAGGGGCATGTTTCACTGGGCGCAACCCAATAGTTCACTGGGCGCAACCAACCCACCCCAGCTGCTGTGTAACGTTTGAATGGCAGCCCACGCAAAGCTACACAAAGAGGAATGGAGGATGCAGAGCAACAGTGCTTGGTGGGTGGTGTCTGCCATGTAATTTTCTCAGCATACCACACTGCATTTCCCCCCCTGCACCAAGGCCTTATTCTACAGAACCACTGAAGAAAAGACACCATTTGTCTACACAGGTGCCCTTCCCTCGCCCACAGAACAGGCCGGCTGGAAAGCGCCCAAATGCACACAGGCCTAATTCATTCTGGTTCACTTCATTTAAAAAAACTGTGCAAAATACACACATCTGGGACTAAGTTCAAACATCTCTTTAAAAATTAAAAAATTTTCTCCAAAAAATAAATATGGCTGACCAAATTTACCCTCCCTGAGATCCTTTAAAGGAATAGTAAAACTTGGAAAAGGAATGTCTTTACAATATCATATCAATGTTAAAAAGGTGGACCAATGTGGACTATTAAAAACTACAGTTAATATTGTGTTTCAGGAGCTTATGAGAATCGTCTGGTTTTCCTTTGGTTCTTTTTTTCTTTTTCAATAAATACTTTAATAATAGGATTTCAAAGAACAAAAAAAATTAGATACAAGAACAATTTAACAAGGAACGCACCATATTCAGAATCAAACTGCAGCTGCAAAGGCACTGCTCTGCTTCTCCACTGCTTTGAGCAGAGTTGGTTTATTCAGTTAAGCACAGGCTGAAATTTAAACATTGATGTGAAAGGAGCTTGTGTCTGCTAGTTAAAACTGAGCTGATAAAATGCAACAATTTCATTGCCTCCACACAACAGAAATAATTTATATTTTTCAAGCAAGTAATTAGTATAGTCATTTGTCTAGCACCAAGTTCTGGCAAGTGGCCCTTTGAGCATAAACACCCACACAGGATCCGTTTTGATAGAAATGGGAGAAAAGGTTGCTGAAATTACAGCAAAGCACTCTGGGTCGCCTAAAAAAGCATACACAATGAGAACTTGAAGTTTGTTGTTGTTATTGTTTTAAAAAGTGTTCCATCTCTTCATTCTAGTGTTTTAAGCCGGGCACCACACAAGCTAGGTAAAACTGCAACATAACTCTAAAGGGGCTGGAAGGAAGCTGACGTCAGAACGGCTGTCTAGCAAGAATCAAAATTACCCATCATCCAGTTGCCCCCTTACCAGAATGAAAAAGTTCTTCACAACTTCAGCTTGCATGGCAGGATTATCTAGACAGGTCAAAACACCAGTAATCCCAACACATCACTGGGTGACAGGCTATTTTTTTTTTTAAAATCACTCTGAGAATACACAATGAATTAATTAAAAACAAAAGAGCACAGAGACAGACGTGAAAGATCTGCATGGAGAACAAGCCATATGACATCAGATCACATAGTAATTTTGCTATACTAGCTGCGGGGAGAGCAGCTGGCATCTTTAAGGCTCCCTTTTGCTCTAAACAATAAAAACCGACAATACCTCCTCTCCCCCTACAGATATTGAAATGTTACCCCCATAATCAATACAGATCTGGATGATGGCTACAGTTACAGAACACCGTACTCACATGGGGCAGGTTATGCAAAACTAGGCAATGTTAATGTGTAGCCATCCTGTACATTAATACTAGGCATTCAGAAACAAGCGTGACTCGTGGCCATTAAAATGTGTACACTGCCATAGGACAAGGCTGGAGATTTATCGTTTTTAGATATCCTACTAGAAATGCAAGTGACTTGGAGCACCTTTTAGATTTCAAAAACAGAACAGAAAATAAGAAAATAGACATCTTTGTCCAGTACTCTTCAGCCAAAGCACAAGAAGGAAGCCAGGTCCTGTTTCGGTTTGAACCTTCAGGAACACTCTGTTCATTTATGACTAGTTCTGGTCCAGTTTCAGCTCTTTCCAAAGGGCACGCACTGTCCCAGATCTTAAATTGTTTCGCTTCACAGTGTTTCAAGCACCAGCGTTTCCATGTATTGGTTTCAAATAACCCTATATAATTTTTATTTATATATATTTATATATTTATATATAATTTATATCAAAACTGATAGTACACAGTATAACTGGAAGAAGAAGGGGAACTGAAGTCAAAACAGGATATGTTGAAAAAACAAGGATGGAGTTTGTGGATGCAATAAATAAAAGAACTCTCCTACAGCCCTCTCCCTCCCACTTACCTCACATTTCCTCACCCACCAAAAAACAAACAAAAAGGTTGCAATGTTCATGGAAAAAATTGTGCACAGCAGATTTATAAAAAAGTAGAGTCAAGAGCACATCCAATTATAAATGATTGTTAGGAAAATCATATAAAACAATGGAATACATAAGTGTCAAAAAGTTATTTTCAGGGTGCGAAATTCCTTGCTGGCCAGATGCCCACAGCCAGTACAAATGATCCTGGTGTCATCTGTTACGAGGAGAGGTCCAAAAAACATGTCGAATCTCAAGAAGAAGCAGAAGAGATGGAAGCGGCACTGGAACTGTCCCTGGATGACTACAGCCTAGTGGACAAGTGGAGTATTTGAATTTCATACCCTGATTTCATAAGTTTCCCACAATTCCATGTGCAATTTCAGAAAGATTCGTCATTGACTGCGGACATGTCGCCCTTTGGCGTAGAGGAGCGGGACGAACCCTTGTCTGTGCTCTCGGATCCCGAGCTGCTCTGATTCTGCTGTTCTGATCCTGCACTGGAGGTCACTGTGGATGATGATGTGGAAGAAGAGCGAGTCTTTTCTTTAAAGTCTGTGATAATTACTGTGACATTTCCCACTGTGACTGCCAGCTGCTGGGCGGTACTTCTGTCCACGTTTTTCAGTCTGGGCCTTAAATTTTAAAAAAGAGAGAGAGACCCATTATAAATAACAGAGTAGCCTTCTGTTACTACATTTTTCTCAGCTAGCTTACAAGGATCCCTTCTAAAGGGAGTTGAGGGCCAGTCCAATGATGAATGAACGTATACTGAACAACATGACTGTTCTTCCTTCCCCCCCAACTGACCTTTTGCTCCTTTTAAAATGCTCAGTCCATCAGCATGCTCAATCCCCAGAATGCACGTGTGGCTGAGGAATAAATTCTTGGAGGTTAGCAGAGGTAGGAAGTTCTCCTCTATTCCACCCAGCCACAAAGAACAGTAAAGACAGAGCTACACAAGTATCGAGAAAGCCTCAGGGTACCTTGGTGGATACAAGGATTTCATGCTTGGAATTCGTCATCTTCTTGTGTGCCCCAAAGCTGTGACTTTGCAATACTAAGCCACGAAAAAAGCATCTGAAAGAGGCACTGTCATTTGCATAGAGGATTTCTGCCATTCAAACACCACAGGCACCAGCACAACTTGGTGACTTTTTGCAACGGCTGACAGCCCATGTAGAAACAGCCCATGTAGAAAACTGTTCAAATAGTCTCTTCTGAATATGGCTACTGAAAACAAGCCCAAGAAATGCATGTAGTATGCAGAAGCAGATTAATAAAAAGAAATGGTATTTTATTTTAAATTCGAGGACCCTTTTCATGTTTTGCGTCATGCTTTTGTGCAGTCATTAAGCCAGCAAATAAAGCACAGACTGCCACTCACATGAGTGTCTGCAACCACCTAGGGTTCTTTAGTCACAACAGCTCTGGATGGTGGAGAATGCCAAATCAGTTCACTAGCTGGGAGGTCAAAATTCCCTGCTGTTGCACCTGAAGAACCAAAGCAGAGCAACAAAGAAGACCTGAAGAAAACAAATGGCTGTTGCTGTTTTTAAAGAACCAAAGCATCCACTCCACCAGATTAAGGGGTTGGCTTTCATGTACAAGAGTTACTGTCGCTGGAACCAGTAATATTATATGAAGAGGGCTTATTTTTGTAGGCATTCCAAGAAGGTTAATTCAAAGGCAATCTTGTCCAACACTGGCTGATCTGCAGAGCTGGCCTTCCAACTGCCCCGGTCCAAGAAATAGTGGCCGAAACACTCCCTTGCAAGAGAGCAATGGCTTGGTCATTAGCTTCAGCATACAGAAGCACTCTTTTTTCAGTCCACTACTGCAGGCTTGGAAATGTTTACCCAGCCTACAGCCCACAAGGGAGACAGTTCTGTTTCTTCAATGGCCCCTGCATCTCATCTTGTTTGGAAGACAACTCCCCAAATTGCTTTGCTTCTCTAACCTTCAGGTCTACTCTTTTACGGCTGCTGCCACACACACTAAGTAATCCACTTTCAATCCACTTTCAGTGCACTTTCAAAGTGGAGTTTTACTGTGTGAACTGGCAAAATCCACTTTGAAAGTGCACTGAAAGTGGATTGAAAGTGGATTACTTAGCGTGTGTGGCAGCAGCCTACCATACTCATTATAGTAGGGTAGAAAATGACCAAAACATCATGCAGCAAGAGACTCAGTGTACTTATTAGGCGGAAGCTCCGAAATACCCAGAAATTCACTTTTTCACTGTCTCTTGGCTTGAATACTGCCTCTAAATGTCCTAGTAGGTTTTTTTGCAATCAGTTCATGGGAAGGATAATGAGAGAGATGTAATCTGGGTGTGCGCTATATTTTATTCACACACAATATCAAAACATAGAAAGAAACAGAAGCTACAGTCCAAATTAGGCAGGCACACAACTCTAATTTTCCTTCAAGCCCTATGGTACTTGATGAGTGTTCAACTCTACAAAGATTATAAACAGAAGGAACATCCAGTGCTGTGTAATACTAAAAATATTATAATCCTATTACTCTACAACTGCCAGCATAGTAGCTTTGCATTTAAGGTAAGCGGAAATAGTAGCCATGCATAGCAAACTAGAGCCAGGAAAACTCAATTTACCGCTACAATTCAGACTGCATTTTTTGCACCCAAGAAAAGGCCAGGAGAGAAAAAGGAAGTTGCTGTAAAGGGTGGTTCTACTCTCTTGATTTCTCTGACAGGGGCTGCTTTTCCTTGCTCTTAATCCTCTCAACTGACTGCACAGCTGCCACCAAGGGCTGCTGTAATGGTGGCTGGGAAGTGGTATCTTCTTGTTTACCCAAAGGGCAAGTCAACAGAAAGAAGGAGGCTTCCCAGCCACTGACATTACATGACCCTCATCTGAATGGGAGGAATGGAGCAAAACACAAAAACATGCACACTTACTGCTTTGATCTGAGTACTAGAATTCAAAATGCATGCACAGTGCACCAAAGTGCAAAAAAGCCTCACAGAAAATACAACTTATGCTTTCCATTTTGCTGTTAGATCCAAAGCCTTTAAAGCAGGCTGCAGGAGGAATCCCACAAGAAGGATGGCCTTGCAAGCACAGAAGGGCTACCCGTCCCCAACCTGGTAGCCCAGGAACACACTTAGGCCTAGGATGCTCTGTGATTAATTCAAACTCTGTATTTATTATCCAACAGAGAATCATAAGCTTAAACCCTATGCATTTGAAATGTTGAATTTAGATCAGCCCTAGTTAAAATGAAAGTACGGCAGAAAAATGACAGTTTGGCATTAGGCAAATTCTTGAGTCTCCATTCACTACACTTTTGAAAAGAAAGGGGCTAAGAACACTTACTACTAGATTTTTAAAAATACAGAACTGGAAAAGACATCTGGTCCAACCATACCTATTCTTGACCCTGCCGCCGCACCCCCCCCCCTTAAGTAATTCATTGGGTGGAAGGAAAAGTTAAATGCTCGAGATCACTATCCTGGTAGAAAATGCCTTCCCTTACCATACAGAGATAATCAGTCAGACCAAGAAGCTAATTGAGGAAGACTATACTCAGGAAATTCTGTATTAAATTACCTTGAGGTGTGATTTGAATCACTGGTCTTTGTTGTTGTATTCCCAGACTGTATGCTGTTTGCTTCACTTGGTGGATCTTTCACAATATCTGACTTTGGTCTGAAAGAGAAGAGAAAACTGAATACTAGGAGGGCACTGTACTTTTAAAGAACATAAGTTCTGAAAACTGGGATAACTAATATCATGGAGGGTGTGTGTGTGTTTATACACACACAAAGCCAAACAACAAAAACAAAAACCTTGTACAACCCTCACACCCATCAATAAAAACACAGGAAGACTAGGAGAAGGGAAATTTCTTATAAGGTCCTACACATAGTATCAATGTGCCTCTTCAATCTCAGCTACTCTGGGAAGAAGATAAAGAGCAATAAAAATTTAGATGCAGCAGCACAGAAAGAGCCAAGTCACATGAATCAAGAACTGGTGGCAGTAAGAGAGAGGAAAGTGATTGGGGATCAAGGGGAAACTAAGGAGTCACTGGATATTTGAGGCACCTAGTAGGGATTTTAACTAGGGAAACTGGGGGGGCACATCAGATTAGATCATTTGCAAAGGGGTACAAAGCTAAGAGGTTAGGAATTTCTAATTTGGATGGATGGCCCAGAAACATACTTAGTCTTCTTGTTGGTACTCTTCTTTATAACACTTTGACTAATTTCTTTTTCTTTGTCTGGCTTTTTCTCTTCCTGCTTTTCCACCTTCTCTTTCTTCTCCTTTTTAGGAGGTGGTGGGGTAGCATATTGCTGAGCAACTTGTTGTGCAACAAGCTGAGAATTTATCCTAGGTTTCCTATGATGTGAAAAGAAATAAAAAAGGGATACTCATTGTCAGTGACTTTATTAAAACAAATGGCTCACTGCAGCAGAAGCATTAGTAAAACAAGTATTTCATCAAACAAGGAATGTCTGGTGTTAACCAGCAAATGTGTTAAGTCCACAATTTTAAAACGGCACTCTCTCACAAATGTTAACTTTATCGTTCGTACTGCCCAATCACTTTCTGAATAACTCTTATATGTAAAATTAGGAGTTCTGCGATCACTTCTTTTAGAGAAAGTCTCTTTAGGATTAAATGTGACCGCTCAGGAACTGGAATTTAGCACACAGTGCTCATCTATGAAATTAACCTTCCCATTTTCAAATAAACCAACATGCCTAGCAATCACAGAAGAAGTACAATTTTAAAAGTCTGGACATGAAAACATGCTGAAGAGGCCAGTGAAAGCCATGAAACTCACACACTGTCTGTACTTTGAAGTGTTATGCTAACTGACCCAGGCTGCTTGTACTGTTTCATCAAATGGACACTGGTAAATTGTTAAATACAGAAAACAGAGTTAGTAATGTCTCATTCAACTGTAATTATTCAAAACAAATCCTTCTTTCCTAAAGCTGTGAGCCTGACATTCGCAACAGAGAGACTGTCAATCAGAGCAAATCTAAAACAAATGGTACATTCAATGTGTCTTTAGCAGTTCTCTCTGTGCCAGACTCCCACTGGTACTGCTTCTCAATAATACTGTCTGCAACCTTCCACAATTACAAACCTGCAAGAATAAGGAGAAAGCAGCAAAACTGGAAAGTACTCTCATTAGGTTCTGAATTAAAAGTTGAACTTAAAACTGAGAATGGCCAGACATGCACTATAACTAGAAATCTGTAGTCCATTGGTCCAATGTACAACCAGGCCAAAAAGCACTTGGAGATGACACTGGTGATTTCTAACAATGACCCCTCCAAACAGCATGTGCTGCAGTAGAGAGTATAATTTGGGCAAGGTGCACTAAGAGGATTTCTGTCATATAATGAGTAGCAAAACACATTTCAAGAAAGGAAAGGTAGCAGACGTGGCATTTTTTTAATGGATCCCTTAGCTTCATGCTCGATTTAATGCATTTCAAAAATCATTATTTAGATACTACAGCCCTTTCTAGCACTTCAAGAAGTTGGTGTCACTCAAGAGTAACTCAGAGATTTCTACATCTTTTAACGTTTTAACTATTTAGAGATGTGCAGGAATGGAGTACAAGAGAAAACCTCTTTTCATTTAAAACATATTTCTAATGGCAATTTATCTCCCAATTGGTATTCAAATGTTCAGAATGCTTGAACTCATGTTGCCATTATTCTTCCCTGTGCTCACCTAACTCTGCTACTTTCTTCATTTTCAAGGGGCTTTGCTCTACACCCCTTTCTAATCTAAACCGCACTCCTAAATTTACATACTTAACTCACTGCCTTAGGAATCTTTTTTTCTTAAAAAGGGTTTTAAAATAAATAAATATACGTAAATATTCCTCACTGAAATCACGGAGGCCAGGGCTGTTCCTTGAGTAAGGTAAATTGGATTGACCACCCTATACTTTAGAGGAGACATAGCCAGTGGTTGCACTGATGGGCTACGGCTCGATGACTAGGGACATGAGCTGTGGCAGTTGCTCATGCGAAGGAAGAAGAGACACTACAGTGTTGTTCTCATGGATTAGGATAACCACACTGTCCTCCTTTAACTGGATTCATACAAGGAAGGTAAGTAAGAGCTAGTCCGTCCTGGGCCACACACCTTCCTAAAGCTGCTTCCAAGTCAACCCAATCAGGGCTGGATTGACAAGAGTTAAAGTTTGCACAGTCATGGTTCAGTCAAAAGACAGACAGAGCCGACAGTGCAATTAGGAGATGATTACCGCCTCTGATTTTTGTGAGTTCTGAATTAGGTCCTACTTGCCACTCACTGTTCAAGAAACGTTACTAATCATCAGACAAAGCCTTTGAATCTACATAGGCATAAAGAGCAGCACACACAAAAAAATTCTCATTTGCTGTGGGTAATCATAATTAACTATCACCTTTTGCAAAGCAGACTGATTGGGCAATACAGTTTGAATATTGCAGATTATGTCCGTAAAGCAATCTGCAAGAAACAAGAAATCTCTGAACAGCTCACACTACTCCATTTAGATTATCCTAACCACACCAGGTAATGCCTGTGCTTAAAACAGGAGCTTTGGGGGTAAACTGATGATGTGAACTACAGAAGTAAAAGTAGGAAAGTAAGATTCAGATCTGTGATCAGATTACCTCAAACTTTTTTTACCACTTTGCAAAACAGTGATTTGCTTTTCTGGAGATGCACAGCACATTCTTTTCAGTACAATTTGAATTACCAACACCATACAAGAAATAAAACCCAGAGAATCCACAAAATGCCCAGCACAATATCTGCTTTGTAGTCTTCAAAATATGACAATGATCAGCCTTAGGAAACAAACTTTACACAAAAACTGCAAAATGAATAATATAGTGAGCTGATCTTTATTTAGGTCAGGCTTACCAACTAACTGTTTTGCCTGTAAAAAATAAGAAGTGTTTCAGCTGATCAGGGAGAGAAGCTTTCTAAAACTACTTTATTTTTTCCACTTTTAAAGCACAGATGAATAAGCAGACAGGCCACTAAATTTCTTTGTGGACTAGTAACAGATGTGGGATTACAAATAAATGTGACTTATGTAGCAAAAGAAACTACATTAATTTGCAAATACTGACAAGAGACAACCCGTCTCCCCCACCCACCCCCGCCCCTTGGTGCATTTGATACTTAAGTGTTAGACATCTTAATAGGACACAGTAATGTTATCGGTAAATCTGGAATTGGAGGGAGAGTATGAAGGAATGCTGCTAAAAGAAACCAGGAGGGAAACTGAATAAACCTAGGCACAAGTAGTGATCTTGTTTCTTTAAAAGAACAAAAGCAAACTGTTTAACGGGGTACCTTACCAAAACAATAGATTATGCAATAAAACTAAAAGGGGAAAGTTCTTTCTCATTTCAGAAAACTACATAAAGTTAGTCTGCATTTCTTGCAAATAAGAAAACACCCCCAAGTGAATATACTACATAAAAAGCCTTCTAATCTAAAGTAAACACAACTTTTCATCATGAACTGCGTAATTATATTACTACAAAGTTATAGCAGGTAAAGACTATATTTCTTAGGAAACAGGGCAAACACAAATACATATTTATACAGAATTTAACCTATAGAATGTAAAAAATACAACCAAGTCCATAGCCATGCCACCAAGCTGTGAATTTAAACTATTTTCTTTTCTTCAGTGCAAATTAAACGCTGGCACTATGCCACCTGCCTGCCATATAGAAATGTAAAAATTCTGGAAGAAATGCAGCTGTGTATGTAAAAAAAGTAAAAATGTTGGGAAAAACTAAAACACATACAATACTTATTTCATTAGCAATCTAAACTTATTGTTCTGGATGGACCCTGCAATACATCAACTGAAGGTGCTGATGGTTGTGGATCTTTCCGATGTTCCCCTCCTTTCAGCAGTCCTTTGGGACCCCAGGAGAGTTTATTCCAGCATGCCTGGAAGAGGAAGAAAGGGTAACCCCCCCGCCCCCCCCGGGCAGCTTCCTGAGCCGTGTGGCTACTGGTCCACATGGGTCTAGCCATCCCATAAATAAACGTCTGCTGCTTTCGAACGGACTACTGCTGAGAGGGGAACAGGGGAGAGATTCATTTGGTCAACCCATTATCAATATAACTTGGCTCGCAAGTTGTATTCTTTGGTACATACATTAAACTTAAAAGTAAAAAAGCCCTAATGTTACTCAAAGGACAATTATAAATATGTTTCATGATTTATTAATTTATGGGATTTTTATTCTACCCTCCCCAAACGGGCTCAGGGCGGATCGTTACAATAAAAGCACATTAATGTTAGACATGTAGCAACAGGCATCAAAGCTTATCTTAGAAGAAAATAAAAAGAGTTGAAAACAGAAGCAGCTGACATTGGTGTAAACAAATGAGTTTTATTATCTAAGCTTAGAAACATAGAAAACATTATCTTGACATCTAGTAATAAGCCTGCAACACCTGTTCACAAAAGGTTACAGGGCTGAATATGCACAACACAAGCAATGATTCCTCTTTCAAACTACTTCCAAGTGTGTATTGGGGGGTGGGGATACTATGCCTACAGCCTAATAATGGTATTAAGCACTATCAGAAAAATCTAGATACCAAATTTAACACACTGAACTTGTAACAAAACCTTGAGCCAGTCTTGGATGGGTCACCATACCAAGTAAATTTGGACTTGTGGCTCACCATACCGGAAAGGTTTGGAATCATTTGTCTAGGGCGGTGGTCGGCAAAGTGTGGCTCCCGAGCCACCTGCGGCTCTTTGGCCCCTTTAGTGTGGCTCTTCCATAGTCGGCCAGTTGGAGTTCCTCTGTGGTGAGCTGCAAGAAAACGGGTCTGGAGAAGCCCCGGCAGAGTTCCTCCCCGCTTTGAAAGTGAAAGGGTTTTTTTACTTTTTAAAAACTTTTTTTTGTTGCTGATTTGCTGGGCAGCCAGGGCCTAAGCCCCGCCCCAACTCCCAGGAGCCCTCAGTTGGAGCGGGAGGCAGCACATGCTGCCTCTGTTTGCCGTACTGCTGCCGGCAAAATTGTAAGTTGCTGGGGGTTTGGGGGGGGGCAGAAGCTTGTTTTAGGTGGGGTGGGTGAAGGCACCTAGGCCATGGGTGGCTTGGGTGCAGGGGCGGAGGTTTGTTTTGGGTAGGGAGGATGGGAGGTGAGGGCGCTCCGGCGCGGTCTGGCGGGGACTGTTTCTTGGGCGGAGTGGCCCTGAGCCCCTGCGCTGCAGGCTTCTTAGGCGCTCAAGTGTGGGCTGGCGAGGGCTGGTTTTTTTTTTTGGGGGGGGTAGCCATGAGTGCCTGGGCTGCAGGCTGCCCGGGCATTCTGGCAGGGGCTGTTTTTTGGGGGGTGAGG